CTGTCCCCTCCGCCCACCCCGCGCTTTTTCAAGTCGTCACCGGTGAGGTGGATTCTCGCCCTGCGCGACCCCCAGCCTCGCCCTCGCGGGCCCCTGGAGCGCAGCGCGCAGCCCCCGTCCTGGGGAGGCGCGTCCTCTGCCTGGTCCTGGGATCCTGCAGACCCCACCCCTGTCCGAAGGCGCCGTCGCCCCCCACCTCCCTCCTCCTCAAGCCGGGGCCTGCCCAGCTCCACCCCCTGGAAAACGCGCCCCTCCAGGATGCTGACGTCTGACTCCAAAGCCGCCTGTGAATGTGTGGGCCGAGGGCATCGGGAGACAGAGAGGGACAGAGGAAAGAATCAGAGAAACCTATAAACATGGCAGAGCAGAGGGTGGGTCGGGATCTGCCGAGAGCCTAGAAGAGTTAGAGGAGGAGCTGGGCGCGGTGGCTCACGCCTGTGATCCCAGCACTTCGGGAGGCCGAGGCGGGTGGATCACTTGAGGTTAGGAGTTCGACACCAGCCTCCCCAGCATGGTGAAACCGCGTTTCTGCAAAGCAGTTATCCGGGTGTGGTGCTTCACGCCTGTAATCTCAGCTACTCAGAGGCTGAGGCGGGAGAATCGCTTGATCTCGGGAGGAGGAGGTTGCAGTGAGCCGAGATCTCACCATTGCACTCCAGCCTGGGCAACAGAGCAACACTCCGTCTCAAAAAAAATAATAAAAAAAAACATATTTCTCTTAATTTTCTTCCTGCCTCCCTGATCACTTTACACTTTTCTCTTCTAGTATATCTTGAGCTCTGTTCTCTGAATGTGGAGTGACCCTCAGCTTACCCCTTGGACTTCTGGTATCGGTCCACACCCACTGCCCTTCCTCATCATCTCATCTCATGGCTTTAAACCCGCCTGCAGGGCTCCATGTTCCCTGCAGACCTTTCCCCTGAACACTGGAATCCTGTGTCCAGTTGTCTCCTCAACTCTCCTCTGGGAGTCCAGCAGGCATCTCCGCTTTCATGTGCCCAAAAGTGACCTGAACTTCCCAGACACATTCCCCCTGCAATCCTGCACATCTCAGATGAGGGCGACCCTGGATTTCGGGCGACTTAGCTGAACATGTCTACATGTATTAAAATTTTTAAATAATGACATCGTTAGTGTGTTAATTTATGAGAAAGAAAAAGGTACAAAACAGGTATGGAAATAAGTCATTTCTAGATTATTTTGAGGTATGGGAAAAAAATTGTTTGAAGACCTCCCCGCTGCCTGATCTGTGTCCCCAGGACCTCTCTGACCTCATCTCCTTCCTGTGTCCTCCTTGTCCCCTCTGCTCCAGCCACACAGGCCTCTTTCCTGTTCCTGGGGCTGAGGGTGCTCCTGCCTCAAGGCCGTCACGTGGGCTGTGTCTCTGCTGGAACTCGCTGGCCCCTCAGCTGCGTGTGCAAACTCGCTTCCTTCGCCAGGTTGACCCTGCCTCAGGACCTTCATTTGGGCTCTCCTTCTGCCTAGGACTCTCTGGCCCCTCAGCTGCAGGGGAAAAAAACCCCTTCCTTAGGTCTTTCTGCTACTACCACCTTCTTAGAGGGCACTTCTGTGGACTCCTACCCCAATTCACCACTCCAGCCACACCGTCACCCCCACCTCTGGGTTCATACTGGCTGCTGTGGATGTTCTCTTTCCCTTCCTTTGCTGTCTACTGTTTTGATCCCGATGACAAGGCCGAAGGGGGCAAGCAGAGCCAGAAGGTGTGGGGTGTGCTGGGCTTGCCCCGTCTGGGCAGAACCCAACCCTGGCTTCACATTATAGTACTGGGGTATTTTGCAGGTACCCCTCTGGTGCCCCCTTACCTGAAGTTTGCATTCAAATACGTTGGGGCCTGTCCTTTATCATATCTAAAGGTGAGTCCAGGTGCGTTCAGCATTGAGCTCCAAGGCTCTGCAACTTGTTTCTGAAGGCTGAGATCAGTCTGGGATTCACAGAGAGGGGAGGGGACTGCATGGGGTTGGGTTAGTGTGGAAGCTGTGACCTGAAAGGGAGCTCAGTCCATCCCAGCCCCCCACTGCTGCAGCCTTTGTGTGCCTCTCCAGAAGGGGAGTGGGTTCTGAAGAAAGGGGCCAGAAACTCACTTGTTGGCCTTCCTGTAGGAGTCTGTGTCCCATCTGGTGCAGTGACTTGCAAAGGAGTGGCTTTCCACAGCGAGGTCTTGCCTGGATGGGTGTTTGAGGCACAAAAATGAAGGTGTTGGCCAGGCGTAGTGGCTCACGCCTGTAATCCCAGCACTTTGGGAGGCCAAGGCAGGTGGATCACAAGATCAGAAGCTTGATACCAGCCTGACCAACATGGTGAAACCCCATCTCTACTAAAAATACAAAAATTAGTTGGGTGTGGTGGCATACACCTGTAGCCGCAGCTACTCAGGAGACTGAGGCAGGAGAATTGCTTGTAGCCAGGATGCAGAGGTTGCGGTGAGCCGAGATCATGGCATTGCACTCCAGCCTGGGTAACAGAGGGAGATGTTGTCTCAAAAAAAAAAAAAAGGCCGAGTGCGGTACTTTGGGAGGCCGAGGCGGGTGGATCATGAGGTCAAGAGATCGAGACCATTCTGGTTAACATGGTGAAACCCCATCTCTACTAAAAATACAAAAATTAGCTGGGCATGGTGGTGCATGCATGTAGTCCCAGCTACTCGGGAGGCTGAGGCAGGAGAATTGCTTGAACCCAGGAGGCGGAGGTTGCAGTGAGCCGAGATTGCGCCATTGCACTCCAGCCTGGGTAACAAGAGCGAAACTCCGTCTCAAAAAAAAAAAAAAAAGAAGAAGAAAGTGTTGAGTCTAGTCATTAAACAGCATATTTTGGACATTCAGGATTGACTTCTAAAGGCTTTTTCCTGTTACCCAAGGAAGATGCCTGGAAGAGGAGGAAGAGAAAGAAAAGGAAACAGGGATGGCTCTTAGGCAAAGTAACATTATCAGTTGATTTTCATTTCTCTTATTTCTGAAATTGTTATGGGCGGTGAATCCATATCCATACAGGTCTGCACCAGCCTCAATTCCTGCCTCCTCAGAAGAAAAAAATTCAACTGAGGGGCACAAGGCAGAAGGAGAGACTGAGGCAAGTTTTAGAGCAGAAATGGCCAGGCACGGTGGCTCACACACTTGTCATCCCAATTCGTTGGCAGGCTGAGGAGGGCGTATCGCTTGAGTCCTACGGTTCAGAAACAACCTGAGCAGCATGGCAAAACCCCATCTCTACAAAAAAGACAAAAATTAGCCAGGTGTGGTGGTACCTGCCTGTAGTCCCAGCTACTCGGGAGGCTGAGGCAGGAGAATCCTTCGATCCTGGGATGTGGAGGTTGGCAGTGAGCCAAGATGATGCCATTGCACTCTAGGTGACAGAGCAACGTCTTGTCTCAAAAAACAAAACAAAACAAAAAAACTTTACAGCAGAAATGAAAGGAAGGAAAGTACACTTGGAAGATTGCCGGGTGGGCAACGTGAAAGGCACATGTGCAGTTTGGCCTTTTGACTTGGGGTTTTCTATGTCGGTATACTTCAGTGGTCTGGCTTCCCTGATTCTTCCTTTGGGGTGGGCTATTATTCGCATGCTTGAGCCCACACGCCCACCTCCTAAGATCTCATGGGAAGCAGCTGATCACCAGTTTCAGGTGTTTTCTATCTATGAGGAGCCTGCCTTTTCTTGGTGCCAGCTGTGACTATTATTTTGGAGAGACAGTTAGCAACCACCTGACCATCACCTAATGGTGGCCTGACATTCCTGATGTGTGTGTATGGGGAGGGGGAGCCCTCTCTTGCCCTGCCCTACTCATACCAGAAGAGCTGCCTACTGTAACAAAATGTCATTCTTTGAAGTTGCAAGTCTTTGAGTCTGAAGCATCCTGCCTCACACGCTTGCTCACTCACCCATGTGTCCATCCCTCTCATCTCACTTAGATTACGTGACGCATGACCTAATGACATGAACGTGGGAAACGGTGCTTGGAAAGGGTTAATACCCAGGCATAAATTGGAAATGGGGTGTGCCCCCCTAATAGTATGCTCAGGACTTTTTCACCAATATTTTCAGGGGTGTTAGTCTATGGTTTTGTTTTCTTTTTCTTTCTTTCTTTCTTTTTTTTTTTTTTTTTTTTTGAGACGGAGTTTCGCTCTTGTTACCCAGGCTGGAATGCAATGGCGCGATCTCGGCTCACCGCAACCTCCGCCTCCTGGGTTCAGGCAATTCTCCTGCCTCAGCCTCCTGAGTAGCTGGGATTACAGGCACGCGCCACCATGCCCAGCTAATTTTTTGTATCTTTAGTAGAGACGGGGTTTCACCATGTTGACCAGGATGGTCTCGATCTCTTGACCTCGTGATCCACCCGCCTCGGCCTCCCAAAGTGCTGGGATTACAGGCTTGAGCAACCGCGCCCGGCTTTTTTTTTTTTTTTAATAGAAAACCTAGGTTTATTTGTTAAGCTATTACAAAAACAAACCAATTACCATTTGAAGTACTTTGAGGACTTCATCCCAGACTCACTTGTTCTGTTACAGAAACTAACCTAAAAGGTTGGAAATCAAAGGATATAACCTAAGAGATGATAACAGAGCAGACTGGTAAAACATGGCGAAAGGAGCTCTCTCTTTCCCACCCAGTCTACCTACACCACGCTCCTGTGCATTTGTACCACACAGATACCTCTGCTAGCTTACAGAAGATGGATACCGATACGGTGAAGGCAGGAATTACAGGCCTACTCAGAGGGTACCCAGACACAGAAAGTTTTGGGGTAAATAATAAACTATAAATACCCTCTTGGTTAAGTTAATTCATCAAGTTAATAAAGGTCAAATTATCTATCTTCTGCTGGTGACAACTTGTCTCAATATAGTCTGTCTCAAGAAAGAACTGGTTCAGGTTGGGTTTTGGAAAAGGAAAAAAGACTTCCATCAACTTCGCTCCAGAGTGGAAGAGGCACCGAGTTCTCTCCTACAGGTAGGAGCAGAATCTTAAACCGGCAGATGTCATTTTCAGTGATCGACATCTGCATCCTCAAATTGTCCAGCAACTGTTGGTGTGGTATCCACCTCCATACCATCTTCATAATCTCTTATTGAATCTTCTGTCCCGACCCCAGCCATATTATACTGGCTGCTCACAGACTGAGAAAGCATTCCTTCTAATCTCTCCAATGTGGCTTGGCGTTCTGCTGTTAGATGGGATAATCCTTCTTCATAGGTGTAAAATGTAGGGATGTCCCCCTGTCCTTGTTCATGTGCTTCCACATCATATTCTTCTCCATCATAGTCAACTGAATCCTCATCCTCAGGATCTGGATGCAAGGCCTGGCATTCGCACATTGCAGTGAACATTGCCTCCAATGCTGATTTATCACTAGGCACAAATCTAAATTCAGTAATAGGTTCAACATCATCACTGTCTTCCTCTTCTTCATCAGCAACAGAGTCTTTTGATTCTTCTTCAAATTTGGCATTTACCATAACATACAAGTGCTCTCCTAGATAGTCACTTCTGTCCCTGGACAATGCATGTAAGCTAATCGTGGGGTATTCCAGTGAGAATCCTAATCCGGAGCCATCTAACCAAGACAGGCGGCTCTCAGCGATGTAAAGGGTACCGGTGCCAAGGCCCTTCAGCACAGCCTCGGTGTCCGGCTGCTGCCGCAGGAGCCCCTCCGCCGGCCCAGGCGGAGGGAAACTTTTAAGAAAGCTCATGGCAGCAGGGAATGCAGCAACACAGGTCCTGAGGGAGTTGGGGCACAGCAATGCTTGCACAGCACCGCCCGCCCCGGAAAGCTCTTTTTTTATTTTTAGACAGTATCTTGCTCTGTCACCCAACTGAAGTGCAATGGCGCGATCTTGGCTCACTGCAACCTCTGCCTCCTAGTTTAAGCGATTCCTCTGCCTCAGCCTCCCAAGTAGCTGGGACTACAGGTGCGTGCCGCCACACTGGCTAATTTTTTGTATCTTTAGTACAGATGGGGGTTTCACCTTACTGGCTAGGCTGGTCTCGATCTCCTGACCTTGTGATCTGCCCACTTCGGCCTCCCAAAGTGCTGGGATTACAGGCATGAGCCACTGCACCTGGCTATAGTTTTGTTTTCTTGTCATATATTTGTGTGGGTTGTATGCTGGGCAGCAGGGATTGTTTAGGGACCACATCTGGATACATGCCACCTCTTTGTAGAACAGGATTCAAGAGGCTGCCCATGAGGTCACATATTACTGTGCACAAATTCCTGCTAAATGCTTTAAAATGAGAACACTAAGGGGAAAGCTTTCCTGCCTCATTTATATTATATTTGAAACTTTACGACTGTGTTTCTGACTTCATATTCTTTTTTTTTTTTGAGCCCGAGTCTTACTCTGTCACCAGACTGGAGTGCAGTGGCGCGATCTTGGTTCACTGCAACCTCCACCTCCCAGGTTCAAGTGATTCCCCTGCCTCAGCCTCCCAAGTAGCTGGGATTACATGCCCAGCCAATTTTTTGTATTTTAGTAGAGACCGGGTTTCACCTTATTGGCCAGGCTGGTCTTGAGCTCCTGACCTCACAATATGCCCGCCTCACCTCCCAAAGTGCTGGAATTACAGGCGTGAGCCACCATGCCTGGCCTTTATTAGGAGATTTTAAAAAAAGTTTTCAGTGACTGTTTTGATGTGATATTTTAACTTGCAAATTTTGAAAATTTTCATTTTTGTGTTGGGAAACAGGAGCTTGCTCTTCTACACCGTGGCTGGAGCATTCTCTCTTGATGGACAGTTTTTCACTTGGATGTAGTTCCATTCATCTGTTTTTGCTTTTCTGCCAGTGCTTTTGGTATTATATCCAAGAAATCATGGCCAAATCTCATGTTCTCATATTTTCTTCTCTTCCTAGTTTGTCGTTTTTTTTTTTTTTTTTTTTTTTTTGTTGTTGTTGTTGTTTTGGTCTTTATCATGAACTGTATTGAATTTTGTCAGATACTTTTTTTTTTAATTTTTTATTATTATTATTATTTTTTTTTTTTTGAGACGGAGTTTTGCTCTTGTTACCCAGGCTGGAGTGCAATGGCGCGATCTTGGCTCACCACAACCTCCGCCTCCTGGGCTCAGGCAGTTCTCCTGCCTCAGCCTCCTGAGTAGCTGGGATTACAGGCACGTGCCACCATGCCCAGCTAATGTTTTGCACTTTTAGTAGAGACAGGGTTTCACCATGTTGACCAGGATGGTCTCGATCTCTCGACCTCGTGATCCACCCACCTCAGCCTCCCAAAGTGCTGAGATTACAGGCTTGAGCCACCGCGCCCGGCGCTTTTTTTTTTTTTTTTTTTGAGACGGAGTTTCGCCCTTGTTACCCAGGCTGGAGTGCAATGGCGCGATCCCGGCTCACCGCAACCTCCGCCTCCTGGGTTCAGGCAATTCTCCTGCCTCAGCCTCCTGAGTAGCTGCGATTACAGGCACGTGCCACCATGCCCAGCTAATGTTTTGCACTTTTAGTAGAGACAGGGTTTCACCATGTTGACCAGGATGGTCTCGATCTCTCGACCTCGTGATCCACCCTCCTCGGCCTCCCAAAGTGCTGGGATTACAGGCTTGAGCCACCGCGCCCGGCATGTTTTTGTATTTTTAGTAGAGACGGGGTTTCACCATGTTGACCAGGTTGGTCTCGATCTCTTGACCTCATGATCCACCCGCCTCGGGCTCCCAAAGTGCTGGGATTACAGGCTTGAGCCACCGCGCCCGGCTCTTTCTTCTCTTAAACCATCCTTGTCATCCCATTTGGACATGGTCCCTGTTAATGTGCTATACAATTTAGTTTCCCAATACTAATATTATGTTGAGGACTTTTTCATCAATATTTTTAGGGATATTGTTCTATAGTTTTGCTGTCACGTATTTGTGAGTGTGTTCTATGCCAGTAATGGTGGTGTCATTGAAGGAATTTTGTGTGTGTGTTTTCTCTTTAGTTATTTGGAATTGAGAAGGATTGGTGTTAATTCTTCATTAAATGTTCAGTAGAGGCCGTGGTGTCTCATGCCGCCTATAATCCAAGCACTTTGGAGGCCAAGGCAGACAGATCACTTGAGGTCGGGAGTTCAAGGCCAGCCTGACCAACATGCTGAAACCCCATCTTTAAAAAAAAAAATGTTCAGTAGAATTATGCAATGATTACAAATTATGTGTCTATACCTGGTCTTTTTTGTTGAGTTTTTTTTTTTTTTTCAATTTACTTGTTGGGACATTTTGATTACTACTTCAGTGTTATTATTTGTAGGCATGTACAGATTTTTTTAAATTTATTTTTGATTCAGTCATGGTACGTTGTATCTTTCTTTCTTTCTTTCTTTCTTTCTTTTTTCTTGGAGATGGAGTCTTGCCTCGTCACCCAGGCTGGGGTGCAGTGGTGTGATCTCAGCTCACTGCAACCTCTGCCTTCTGGGTTCACGCCATTCTCCTGCCTCATACTCCCTAGTAGCTGGGATTACAGGTGCCTGCCACCACACCTGGCTAATTTTGTAGTCGAGATGGGGTTTCACCATGTTGGCCAGGCTGGTCTTGAACTCCTGACTTCAGGCAATCTGCCCACCTTGGCCTCCCAAAGCGCTGAGATTATAGGCTTGAACCACTGTGCCTGGCCTTTCTCTTTTTTTTTTTTTTTTTTTTTTTTTTACTGCTTGTTTCTTCTACCTGATCAAGTCAGTTATTTAGTTTCTCTAGTATGCTTTCCAATTCAGTTAATGTTTTTTTGTTTTTTAGCTCTAGAATTTTTTTTTTTTTTTTTTTTTTTTGAGATGGGATCTCATTCTGTCACCCAGGTTGGAGTGCAGTGGTGTGATCTTGGCTCACAGCAACCTTCGCCTCCCAAGCTTCAGGGATCCTCCAAACTCAGCCTCCCTGCTAGCTAGGACCACAGGCATGTGCCACCATGCCCAGCTGTTTTTTCTTTCTTTCTTTTTTTTTTTGAGATGGAGTCTCCCTCTGTTGCCTAGACTGTAGTGCAGTGGTATGATCTGGGATCACTGCAACCTCCACCTCCCAGGTTCAAGCAGTTCTTCTGTCTGAACGTCCCGAGTAGCTGGGATTACAGCTGCCCACGACCATCCCTGGCTGATTTTTGTATTTTTAGTAGAGAGAGGGTTTCACTATGGTAACCAGGCTGGTGTCGAACTCCTGACCTCAGGTGATCTGCCTCACTTGGCCTTCCAAAGTGCTGAGATTATAGGTGTGAGCCGCTGTACCTGGCCACTTTTTGTATTTTTTATTTTTGATAGAGACAGAGTTTCACCATGTTGTCTAGACTGGTCTTGAACTCCTGGCCTCAAGCGATCCTCCTGCCTAGGCTTCCCAAAGTGCTGGGATTACAGGTGTGAGGCACTGCACACAGATGCTAGACTCTATTGGTGTGTCTTCATGGTTTCTTATTGTTAACAATCTCATTTTGTTCATATCTTGTTTTCCTGATTTCCTGTGGTTGAGCATCTTATGACTCTTATTTTGAATTCTTTATTTAGTAATTAATATATCTTTGTTTCTTTAATGTCAGTTTGTGGTGACTTAATTTGTTCTTTTGTATGGTTCATTTTTTTTTTCTCTTTGTTATCTTGTTAATCTTCTGTTGGAATTTCAGCATCTCACAAAACATCCACTTCACTCAGTTTTTGGTATTTGTCTTTGTTCATGGAGAACACACTTTATTCAACCTGACTAGAGATTCTGGAGGCCTCTCAAGCCTTTTCTGAGGGTGCATCCTCTCTATGCTTTTGCCTGTAATCTAACCGAAGAGACTTTGCCAGTTTATACTTGGGAGGAATTCTGTTGTCTACCAGATATTCTGCAGCCTCTGTGATGCTATAGTAAATTTTGGTCTGGATCTGCACCTAGTATCTTGCCCATGTTACCACAGACACTGAATTATGTTGATTGCCTTTATTCTTTTTTTTCTTTTTGAGACAGTCTTCCTGTCACCCAGCCTGGAGTACAGTGACACAGTCATAGTTCACTTCAGCCTCTACCTCCTGGGCTAAAGCAGTCCTCCCACTTCAGCCTTCCAAGCAGCAGAGACCACAGGCATGAGCCACCATGACTGGCTTTGTGTGTGTGTGTGTGTGTGTGTGTGTGTGTGTGTGGCGATGGGGGGGGGGTTTACTATGTTACTCAGGCAGGTCTTTTTTTGGTGGTGGTTGTTGTTTTTTTTTAAAAGACAGGATTTCACCATGTTGGCCAGGCTGGTCTTGAACTCCTGACCTCAGGTGATCCGCCCGCCTCGACCTTCCAAAGTGCTGAGATTGCAGGTGTGAGCCACTGCACCCGGCCTCAGGCAGGTCTTGAACTCCTGGGCTCAGGTGATCTTCCCACCTCAGCCTCCCAAAGTGCTAGGATTACAGGCATGACAAGCCTGATTGCCTTTATTCTCAATGGCTCCCTAAGCTGGTGCTGTTCCTTTCAGTGCTTATGTTCAGCCAAGACAGAAACTTGTTCCTTTAGCAGTCCCTTGAAAGATCAGAATGTTTGATGGATGTTCTCATACTCTCCTTCCCCCAGGAGAAATCAGTATTTAGGGATTTCCTTGCAGTGATAACACATCATGCCAGGGTAGAGCCACTGGGGAATAAGGGTCACATTTGCCTATCAGGCTTCCATTAAGTGTTCCAGGCTGGCCACAATGGCTCATGCCTATAATCCTAGCACTTTGGTAGGCCAAGACAGGAGGATTGCTTGAGCCCTGGAATTCAAAACCTGCTCGTGCCTATGATCCTAGCACTTTGGTAGGCCAAGGCAGGAG